GTATGCTTAAATATGATTCAACATTGACCATAAAATTTACGTTCTCCAGCTAAGCCGTCAGTCGTTCAGAATTTTATTTGCACATATAACCTAGTCGCTAACGACTTCAGTTGTAAAGGGTCCTTAATTGAAACGAAATTGACGTTTACAATCCACCTAGGGGTCTCTTAATTGCTATGCATTTCGCCACGTAAGTCGTTCGGTACCGTTTAATGTTTTTACAGCGCGCTTCAAAGCTGCCGAGAATTTAATCGTACCCTATTTGTGGATACACATACTGTTAGGGCACTTTATAGTTTAAGTTATTTAAAGTTCCCTACCTCTAAAAAAAGTAACCGTTATGGAATCACTCGTGTGTCATCCATATGGATTCATGAGCACACAGACGCGCATCCAAAATGTTGAATTATTGTGTGATAAATGTTGGGTAGTTTAGATGTAAATTGAGAGAAGAACCAAAAACATTTCATCATATGCAATTTCACTCATTCAGAACTTTTATATCTCGCAAGATATAAAAGTTCTGAATGGGTGATATGGGATAAAAAAATAACTTAAAAAAATTGTTCTAACGTTCAATTTTATAAAAAAAAAGAGTTCTGACTGTGACCTTACGTTATTGCAATAAAGAGGTCACATCACACAAACGTTTTCATGGTATTACGTGTTGACATAATTATTCACGAATTTCGTCAACTACTGGTCGAATGTCTCATTAAGTTTTGGCATTATTAGTGGATTATTTTACATGTTTTACAAACTAAAAATCATACCAATGATTCTAAATGGTATGATTTTTAGTTAGTTGCTAGTTATCATTAAGTATTATACCATTATGGAATGAGCTGCGTCAATTTTAAAAACAACTTGCCGCAGTAGTGTCCATACTTTTTTCTACATGACTGTGAGTCAAAGATTACGGAACGTAAAAATCTGTGAAAATATAAGGAAAAAAATACATTTTGATTATTTTTTGTGTAAAAACTGCGGGCATTTTGGTGTTTTAAAGAGTTGTAGCGAATAGTAGTGCTACTTAGGTATCCGATACCAAAAAAAGATTGAACATAATTGAGAAGTTGTGGTCGTGGTAGTTGAAAATATCATAAAAGGTGTAAATTTTCGAAGATTTTCGAATTTAATTTTATAATAAAAAAGATTAATAAGATATCATTTTTTTCTTATTTTTCCATAAGTACACATGAGCAGGTCTACCTCTTGGCGCCCGCTTATCGTTGAATTTTGGAACACGTTGTATATATTCCTATTAATTTTGACAATTTCTATGAAAAACTACTGTAATGAGGTTGTAATGAGGATTGATTTTATCGCAAAATATAAGCTTAAAGTGGTTGAAATAATAATCGAATTCTAAGCTGACAAATCCGCGGACAGAAAGCTAGTAATAAGTAAAGTGATATAGTACGAGTAACTTAAAAATATATGAAGAATCATAACTTTTGACGTACGACAAATGGCTTGTACATTAGTTCCACTTGTCGATATTTACAGCGTTCTACACAATTTTCTAGCAAACGCTTCTTGAACGTCGAGGAAAAACATGGATCCAGATGAAGTGGGCAACTTGGGTGCCAACGTCCGGGCTACGTGATCAAACTTTGCGCTCAACTTAAAGCAAAAAAAAACTTGTAGAGTCTGAAGGAGCGCTGATAATAACAAAATAGATACTTCTCAGCTTTGTTATCGTCACATATACTATTAAAATACAGCGTGTAACAGATGAAATAATAATATTTTTCTTCTCACGTGTAAAAGCATGACGACAGATAGGTGGTTGTTTACGACATATATATAAAGACATTGATCCACATATGTGAAACATTATAATTTTAAATGTAAATTTAAAATACACACAAATATGATTTGATTTAAATCAAGCACTACCAAGACGTGGTGCATTTGTTGTAGTTGCTTTATTGGTTTATTTTCTTACTTTACTCTTTACTAAATTATCTTTCGATTTTCCTATGAGTGCACTACTAGAGGAATATCTGTGAACTTTCGGGGGTCTGCCGTTCTGCGTCGCTGCCGCAGATGCAACCAACTTTAAAGGAGGTTGCAATATGTGTGCAACCTCATCGCTAATCCATAAACTTGATGACAGCATAAAAGAATAAGATATCAAAAATTGTTCCCAGCATATACACACACACATGGCACAATACTCCAATTATTCATAGACTTTAATTGAACATGGCACAGACCTGACGTATAATGATATAATGCATGTTTAATGCTTCCTTTTACCTAAACGAGTTAAAGACTTCGATAAAAAATTCAACTTAAAAATGTTGATGTCTAACATCATTATTTCATCTTGTCAATAGGGTGTATATTATTTGTTTGTGTATAAATAATGAAGCTTTTCAGGCGATAAAATAAACCTGACCCTAATATACAAAAACACAAGGGCTTCAATCGAAATCGGAATCGGAGTATTTTTTAGCTCCGGAGTTAGGTACCAATGCTCCGAATTCAAATCACGGAGTTTCGGAGTTATATAGATTTTCAAATAAATGTAAATGTAAGGTAGAGCGTATGCACTAAAGTTAAATTAAATTGTCCATTCTGTTACTCACATAATATTTGATAGATCTCTTTTATAATTTGTAACCGGCGTATTTACTCTTTCTCTTTATGACAAAATATTTATTTTTCTGATTAAAAAGCAAATCAATTAAAAATGTATACTTACGAATTAAACGTGACCCCTTAATCTATAGACGACTTACTTATGTAGTTTCTACAGTTTCGCATAATACAGGGTATCATTTTTAAAATGATTATGGTATATCAACGCACACAATCAATGCTTTCGCCAAATTGCGCTCAGGTATGATAATTAGCATAGTTTTAAGGTGACACTTCTTGAATTCAAGTAATTCTACCCTTTTTTATTGTAATATCATTGGCTAAAACGCATGAAAAATATTTATCAGCCACATTAATAATATATGAAATTTCCGCATAATATACCCAAAGACTGAATACTCGAATAATTGTGGCCGATGCGGCAGTGACTGTTCGCGTCCAGGTGGCGTATATCAGTTCGGTAAGTACTCTCGATATATCAGAGTTCCGTTGGGTTTATTCTAAGGATAATATTTATTCTATAGTTCTTTTCTTCCGCTTTTTTTCTTTAACATTTATTAATAACCGCATTACAATTAAGATCCCACGTCAGCTATCACGCCGCTTCACCAAAATTTCATTGAAGTACTCTTTGCTGAATTTTATAAATAAAACAATTCAGCGTTCAACACAAATGAAACCTACTTCAAAATTTAATAGAAGTTTTATACAATAGAAACTCTATGCTGTGACAGTGCTGTTCTCGATATCGAGTTTGATGTTTTTTATTATATAAGAGCGAAGTATGACAAATATCGAGTTCCATAAAATAATATTTTAACAAGCGGCTGCTGTATAATATTAATTTTATTCAAGTACATATTTTCAATGTAAAGTTCCTCGAATAATAGGGCTAACTTAGATATCTTATTTCAATGACTCTGTCATATTAATCTTTTGAAATTTGACAAACTCCAAATTATGTGATAAAATTTAGTTGGAATCGTTTTTCAATAAAATCAGTTTATGTATTTTTTTCTTTGTTCCAGAATCTCAAGGATCAAATATTAACGACAAACGTCTGGTTAGAACATGTAAGTATTAAAAATCAAATCTTAGCTGTATTCGCGCGTAAACCTTTCTCGAATTTGTGATTATTACTTAACCTACTGCAATTCAAATTATTATTAATTTCACATACTTAAATTTAAATATAATGTAAAAGATACCATAGGTATCTGTATTAACAGGTCACCAGCCTCATATTACGTAAGGTTGATGGCAACAAGAAGTATGTTATATAAAGGTACTCCGTTATTTATAGACATTTTGGATATTATCCAGATAATTTCTGTATCTTAATTTCAATTAAAATCTAAAATCTGCAAATTTTTGAATTTAATGAACGTGAGAAACGTGTAAGATGAACATGAGCATGTTGCTTGTATATGTATGTATTCAGAATAAACAATAACAAAAACAGATCACTTATGAATAATATAAAAACTATTATAAAATAAAATAAAAAACCTACAGCCTGCACCTAGCCCTACGCATTTCCTATGCTTACGCTACCGATCGGTTGTTAAGTCAATATCTGAAGACCACTAGACAATAGTATAAGCGCCAAAGTTTAAGTTGTATGTATGCTTATTAGTCTTTCACCCAAAAACTAATAATCGACTTTCAACGAAATTCGGTGAACGGACAGTTTCAAGTCCAAACCAACCTATACTCTTTATTCTACTATATAGTTCCTAGACCTCTCCTATGTTAGATATACCTTAATCATCCTAAAGTGGTATTAAGATTTTACGATCAGCTAGTTACTACAAAATTGAGGTTAGAAGGTTTTCAGTATCCTGTAATTCAGTATATAAAGTTTGATATTTGAACTTAATTGTCCCACTAAATATAATAGAATAGAGTCAACCTATCTTGTATTGCTAAATGTACGTATTTTATTTGGATTGTATACGTGTTTCGGAAATGTTTGTATCACGTTCGGAAAAACCAAGGAGAATTAAACCAGACTCAAAGTATATATAAATGTTAAATTACACTTATGTAACTGTTATATTATGAATGTAAAAGCGGATTCCTGAGAGAAGCACTTCAAAGTACTTAAAATTTAATTTAACAGGAGTTCTATGAATACAAGAAGTAAGATTTTGGGAAAGAACAATTTACATATCCTAATAAGCGCTAAGAAATGTGACGAGACTCAAATATGGGCACTTCGTGTTCTGAAATTTTGCTCTTCATCAATTTAATGATTAAGAATTGTCTAACTTTATGGTATTGAAATTTAAGCACGAGTTGCTGTTTCATTATAGATGTTGGTTTAATCAAATGTTATTTTAACGTTCGATCTATGTTACTTCTAATAACTTGGTAATAACGAATCAGATATGATATATAGAAATTTTACTTTAAGTGTAAGGCCACACGATGCGTGCGGTGCGTTGCCATCCAACCTCGAGCAGTCACGGCTATTGTGGTCCCGGAGTCGCATGGGGGTGACCTATGCCCGCGGCAATTGTGATCCTGGCTTGGGTCTGACTCTGACGCCCAGTAGTGGGCGTCGAACGACGACGTTAGAGAATACATCATCGCACCACGTGGCTACACACTAATGCCTACATCTATAATTAAATACAGTGATAATAACAATAATATTTTTATGAAGACATATGTTCACACAGATTTCTTTAAATTGTTATTTATTAGCATATTAATTTCGAAAACGTGCAAATATTATGAAAAAATCTATTGATAACATATTTTTTAAAATGAAAATTAAAAACCTATTTTTATCAAAATCATAATAATCAAAACAATGTGAATGTTAATTATTAACCTTTTAAAACTCAGATAAATCTCCTCTAAAGTGGCATATGAAGGAATTACTGTTTTGAAATTATTTTTTTAATAAATTATCTTTTGACTTATTTTTACTAAAAGATTGGATATTTTGTAAAAAATAACTAGAATAGTGTATTAACAAAGATTGAGTTACTTAACATGCAGCACATCTGGCATGACACATAACAAGCCCATAAGATATAAGAGCTCTAAAAGTCAAGAATATCATAGATTTTTGGAGGCTATCCGGCTAAAATATACACACATTAGAAAATAATGCAGTGACTATAATTTCATATGTAACCGTATATTAAAATTACAAATAATAACAATACTAAATAGATATTTAAATATAGGAATGGGAAGATCACAAGTTCAAATGGGACCCCCTGGAATATGGTGGCGTGAAGGAACTCTATGTACCATCGGAACACATTTGGTTGCCAGACATCGTACTATACAACAAGTAAGTCACATAATTATATGTTCACACACATATTCTCATTTATCTAAGAGTTACGCTCTTGTCAGTAGGCACCTGGTATTATAGTTTATTTACCACTAACTACCATGAACGATTACCAGTTCCAAAGGGAGAATCAGAAAAGAAAGTGAATTTTAATGTTTTCAGAAAGAAATAACTCTAACTGTAAGTTTTGCTGTTTATAGAACAGACCCACGTATCTAGGCGGCACTAATTCCAATTTATTAAATACTGATCCACATAATATTTCTGCAAATTAACGATTTTCAACCCTGTACTAAAATATGAGATTTCATATTTCTATGTAAACCTAATATTTTTCTTTATTAATATGTTACATAACGGAGTAAAATTCCACAGGTAAGTAAGAGCAAGATAAAAACCATGATGAACAGAAGGAAAACTTGCTTGAAATATTTAGTTAAATTTGAAAAACTAAAGGTCCTATTTGTTTCTAAATAAGTCTTCGTTTATTAACACCTGATCAACACTCTTTAATTAAAACATATATACATTGAAATTTATTATTTATCTCAGACTACTTACAGAATAAATAGATTAACTCTTGCACATATATCATTTACGATTTCGAAAGTTAAAATGTATTCGTGTGAATTAACTTTATTAATACATTTTAACTTTTGAAATTCGAATTTTGATCGCGGTAATTCCCACAAATTTCAACTTTGCACGAAACAGGGAATGACGAGACTGAATTTATTGAAGTTAAAGAAATGACATTAACACTTCCCATTAAGTAATTGTACTCTCCAGCTCTATACATAAGTACGCAATCTATCACAAATTGTGCCAGTCCTTACATGTACAACAGGTATGTCATGTCTAAAAAATTTGAATCTGGACATGGATACGAATATAAGATTAATATAACATAAATTTCACATACGGTTACAGATGTTTTTTTTTCGGAATATCCGTTATTTTCGGATGATTTCGGTTACGGATATACGGTATAATATAAGCAGTCTTAAAAAACATGAAATGCAAAATACATACGCGGCTATTTCTATTATGCCCATCAGAAAAATCGGTCATATAATGATCTCATTTAGACTCCGTATTATTATTACGGATATTCTTAGTTTCGGTTACGGCAATGGAATACATGATTTCATTTAAAAGCTTATATCCTTCTTATGTTAAGTTTTATAATCATAGTTAATAGCTACACTAATGTAAGCAGATAACTACATAACTTAATTCCTCAAAGGTAAAAACGAAACCCTTAGAGCAACATTTTGCTGCCCGTCTGTCTGTCAGGCAATACCCTTAATTTCTAATCAGCAATAAAAGTAATATTTCGGACACTAATAGCTTCATCAGTTTCTGAAATGAATAGTCACTTTTGATTTCATCAATGACGACAGTGAAGCATTTTTTGAAGTCCACGGATATCATTATCTATACTAGACTACTTTGATAATAAAGCACTTCTAATTAAATCTAATGTTAGAACCGCACACACATCAGCCCAACCTAACTTGATGTGTTCCAAAATTGAATCCAACCTAACCGCCAAGACCCATAATGTCCTATCAGATGAACACATCACTTGACGTTCTGGTTATAACGTGAAAGCGTTCGGTGCCAAATGCGTTCTGTTAAGCAATAAGCCCACCACTACTGTCTTCCGCTGCTGTGACAGCTACCATAAACCTATCAAAAGGCAAGTCATACGTAAACGGACGAATGTCTTAAGGCATGAGCAGTAGCGGTGTAGCTTGAGACGATTTACACTTATAAAGGAATTTTAGTGAGTGGGGACGATATTCAGCTATTTTAAAGTGGAAACATATCTTGTTTAAAAAGAGAGAGAATATCTGTCTCTCTCTACTGAGGTTTGCACAATAGAGAGAGGCTATAAACAAATCCTTGAATCTTTTTGACTTGGCTTCTTTCGGCAGTACTATTAGCTATTATAGAGAGAAGTAGATCTCTGTGTCTAATCGAGAGATAACTGAAGGCTTACCTTCCCTGATGCTCTAAAAAGATCGTATAAAAGATACATTAAACTTTTTAACTGTCCTACTGTTTATCATATTCTTTTTCGTTAAAAGCCACGTGTTACTAGCTAAAAATGTTATCTGATAAAAATGGTGTTTTTCTGAAGAGTAACAAGATTAAATGTTTAATAATTAAAAATAAAACTTCTATTGATATCAGATGCAGATAGAGGTAAACTTTTGACAGTCCTCTAGTTTGGATGATAAAATGACGGTGGATTCGTATAACAACCAGATTTCATACTAAAATATTCTAACTTTATAAAGGAGTTTTATTGTAACTCAATTTCAACCGCAATTTTATCCAACAATTAATTCTGTGATCCCAAGACATATAAAATCAATTCCAATTTTGGACTACTCATAACATGAAAAATCCTAACATTTCAGTAACAATATTTTTTTAAGATAATCTCTTATAACTTAGGTAGTCCACCTACGGCCGACACAGTGTAAGATTAGTAGCACGTGCGTCGCTCTCATTCGCTTATGATTAATAGCTAGCCGGCCTGTTTTGACACCACATGATGTATCAATTGTGAACGCTTTCTTGTCGATACGACGCAATCAATTAACTTAGATACGAATGTTTATACCACTCAGTAAATACAGGTGAAACTTAAATATATGTAGATCTATACCAATATTGAATTTTACTCGCGACTTCAAGGCTACTACTTTATCCAAATACCACACGCGCGAATCTACATACAAAACCTACCACTGAAGAAAAGAGACTTTAGTTTCGAATTTACCAGAGCTATTTTTGTTTTCCCTAAAATCTTGTGTTTAAAATAAATGTACAATAATCCTTTATATAAAAACATATTGAACTTCCTTACACCAGTACGAACTGCATAATCAGAATTCTAATTTACGAGGTGTAAAGAAAATATATCGTATTTCGTTCACTTCTATAAAAAACTCTGTGTCATCACCTTCTTCACCTCTGATTGATGTGTTATCAGTATATACAAAAATTTGAAACCCTGTTTATTTTACATTGTAATGTGCTTACTGAAAAACTCTATTTTTGAATACTCACTAATAAAATTACAAAAGTTCAGATTGTTAATAGCCTAAATATTGTAGTAAATGCTAACAGTTCTATAACCATAAATAATCAACTATGCATTATATTGTGCGTAAATTTACATCGCAAATATTACCGGATAGGCGCAGCACAATATACGGCGTCTGACTCATTGGATATGTCCGTTTGTCACAAGAATTTATGGTCACTTTGACAGAGCAATTTTAATTTAAGAGCCCCTGGGTTTATGGATGTTTTTAACACATTAAACTTATCAAGCAGCTATGTAAATATTCGACTACTCTTAAAAAAGTGACAGGAGACGTTGTCTTAAAAATAGACAGATATTCAGAAAAGTATTTATACACAAAAGTTTGTGATTTATAAAGACTGTGTTAATATTGCCACAACAATCAACAATCTCACTTTCACTTTACTTCAATATGGACATATTGACATATTTCGTCACTATTTAAAATTTACTTACTGCACGCCACCGCCCTAACAATATGTCGGCTACGCCTTTACTAACGTGTCAAAAAATATTAATTGTATTTAAATATATTTATACTATTATTAAAAAAGTTGTATCCAACACCAATTTAAGGCTGTACTTTGAAAATAATATTTTGGTATATCCATAATTTTATAGCGTTCGAGATAAGCGTCTAAACAGTGTAAGATATATCAAATTTTAAAAATACGTGGCCAGGATCATTCATCTCGGTTCTTTGTTTAAACGTCAAAAACTGTTATTTTTACTAGTGCTGACGGAGAGTACGTGGTAACGACGATGACCAAAGCAGTCCTGCACTACACCGGCAAAGTTCTTTGGACACCACCAGCGATTTTCAAGTCCTCGTGCGAGATCGACGTCAGATATTTCCCGTTCGATCAGCAGACCTGCTTCCTAAAGTTCGGCTCATGGAGCTATGATGGTGATCAGGTAATATATTAGATCAATTAAAAAATAAAACAAATTACTTCCAAAAGCTTTATAAATTTTGTAACAAGAGGACACACTTCCTACTCAAATACTCCCCCAAATACTTAATTTCAGTCACTTTAAAATTAGGATGAATAGACTTATTGGCAGACATGTACAGACAGGATCATAATTATCGAAGCGACTAAGGTGATCAATACAGAAGCTTAATTTTGTCTAAGCAGCCAAAGTTGCATATTGATCTAAGTTCGCAAAACGATCAAAATATCTTGGGACCACAACTTCAATTTTTTTAACTACTAACAACTCGATTCGACTCGATACAACACTTTGCGTTTGTATTCATATGAATCACGAAGACAAACGATATTTTGACCATATGCAACTTAGATATAATTGAAGGTTTTTGTTTCACATTTTTGTCACCTTGGGCTCTTCGATAAATGATTATAACGCTTACTGTACTGGTAAACCCAAATCAAAACCCAATCTTAGGTAAAAAAAGTTGTACTTTTTTCTAAGTCTGTTATAATTTTAAGGCAATTTAAAATACTGGCTAATCAAAACTTACTGGAGATGTAATTAATCAATCACCTAAAGATGAAGATACCATTTGGTCAATATTTAAAACTTCACGTCAATCAATTGACATTGATGAATATACTTAATTTTATAATCTAAGAATATTATTCAGAAAAATTTCACATTATGAAAATTTTGATAAATCTTATTTTTGACATTAATGCTGTTAGAATGTAATGTGAACCAAGCGCCTCTTTCTAGATCGACTTGAAACATATAAACCAGAAGAAAGGTGATATGGTAGACGTCGGTATTGATCTTAGAGAGTACTACCCATCTGTCGAATGGGACATCCTGGGGGTGCCAGCCGAGAGACACGAGAGGTATTACCCTTGCTGCCAGGAACCCTACCCAGGTATGACATAATGAATATTAATATATAAGAAGTTTCAAACTTTTTTTTTTAATTTCAGACCAGAGATCTTGAATAGACAAATCAAATGACCATGAACTCAGCAGGGTTATTACATTTATACGGTATTAAATTATAAAGTTCCTATGAGTACCTACTAGTTCCATCATCAGACTCTGGATATTAGCTCGGACTAAATTCCTGATAAAGACAAAGTAAACGAGTCTCAAATCTTTCCAACTCAATAATCGTGTCAGCTTAATTCTATATTGATATTGCATTATCATTCAATTTGTATGTGTATACAAAATTTTTGCAAAACGAAAACATTTGACCCAGACTAATAAACTAACAAGGTTAGTTAAAAAATGTAATACTGAAAACATCATATCAAAAAACGAGCAGAAAGAAGTTTAAACGTAAAACACTGCAGTATACACGCCACATGTAAAAAAGAATGCCTTTTTTGTAGCAATCCTGTTTAGCTGAAACAAAAATTAATTGGCAACCACGACGGCAGTAGCAATAATCGTAAATACGAGGACCGAGTCAGCGGAAAAGTTTGGAACCCTCACGAGTGTCATCAACACAAATGGCATCGTCCTCATTATATGTTTATCTAAGCATATACCGGGGTCCTACTAAGGACTATGGTCATGTTTGGATGTAGACAATGAGGTTTTATTATTAGACACGTCTTACTCGTACGTTATTGGATTTTAAAACTGCGTAAACTTTATTGTGGTATCGTTACATTCTAATACGACCGCAAAGGCGCGAAAAATCAAAAATAGTTATTATATTTAACCAAATTTGCATTTACAATGCTACATTGAAAAATATTTTTTATGAAAACTGCTTAAAAATCCACTTGTCTTTTTGAAAAATCTTGTTGGAACTAGATAAATATACTTTCTTAGCTTTGCGTGTTAACTCCAATCTTTCCTAGTCGTATAACACGTTGCACGAAAAAATGAACGCGTTGATGTTTTATTATTTATATTAAAATAAAAAAAAAGTAAGTGCAGTACTTACGCATAAAAATGATATCTTTTTTGCTTTTCCCATTGTTAATGTGTAATTTGGGCATTGTTTAAACACGCAGAAAGGCTTTTTTCTACAATTTTTCACAGAAAATTTGAAATGATATTAGCCACGCCCGCTGAAATGTGACTAAAGTGAAACTGAGGCAATTGCCTTGCTTTTTTGTTGTCAGTGTTGTGCGCAGCTAACCTAGAACTAACCTAGAAGATTTAAACTTTTTAATACACCGTTGGATATAGATGTTTAGATTTTTTCAGAAAAACAATCGAAGTGCAATAGTAGAAACGATATGACTATCACCCATGACAACCATATAGGTATAATTTTATTTATTGCAGTACAATAAATGATTATTTACAAAAATACGTCTTTTTAGCCGACTTCAAAATCGAAAAGAGTACGTTTTTTAAAATAGAGTTTACATTTGAGGAAACATATTAGTTACACGAGAAAAGAAAAAACTTGGTGAATATTTTTTCATCACACACGTATATAGTGAACTTCGACTTTTGAATTTCGGAAAGCTCATGGTAATAGCCAGTAATAGTCCTTTGCCTGCTACAGTACCATATTAAAAAGGAACGGATAATATTTAAATAGTCCAAGCTTTCAGTTTTAATTTTTATAATGGAAAAAGATTATTGTATAGAACAATATTTGCTACGAGAGAAATCTGTTGAATTATCGTCGTAAAGAAATAATGAATTATACATATTAGTTTATTTTAAAATTCTTACATTGATGATGGATGAAATTAATGGGAGAATCATCACAGAAAAACTTCAATTCTCATTTGACAACCGAAACGAAAGTATTATACAACTAGTGGACGCCCGCGACTTCGTCCGCGTGGAAGTCGGTATCCCGTGGGAGTGAGAAGTTTTCCCAGTAAAAAGTACCCTATGTGTTATTCTGATGTATAACCTATATTGCTGTAAAGTTTTATCCAAATCCGTCCAGTAGTTTTTTCGTGAAAGAGTAACAAACATCCATACATCCATACTTACAAACTTTCGCCTTTATAATATTAATAGGATTTGCATGTGTTTTTCAGTTTTTGTGCCGGAAACCCATTTTAATGAACCAAAAAATTTATTTAAGTATTTCTATATTGAAAAATAAAATATACCCATATTAAAAAAACGGATAGTTTTTTTTTTATCTACACTCAAATCGAAAAATTCGAATTACGAATTCAAAGACGATTCTATAAATACGCACTTTATAAACGCATAAACATAATATTAAAAATAAAACTCATTATAGTACCGCCAACTGTATCATAAAACTCATTATAGTACCGCTATCTTTTTTTATTCATGAAACTAGTCTATGGTTTTAGGCTGAATATGAAAAAAATGGCGCACGCATGTTTGCAGTTTTTGCACGCAGTTTGAACTTAATTTCCCGCGCTTCCCATACTATTTTTTTGCCGATCGTTTGTATTCGGGATTCCAAAAAATTACTTCCTTGTAAACTACCTACTTTGTTTAATTTCAATTTTCCCTATGAGTGAAGATAAAGTAGTGTATGAAACTGCATATAACTTATGTATTAAAACATTAGAGTCAACCTATTATCGCTCAAGTAAACAAACTCTCGTGTTTTAATACCCCTTCTTACATGACAATTGCATAAACTACAATTTTAACGATGTGTGATATGAATAAAATCCATTTTCTACGTGATAATGGTGTGTTTAATAAATCATTCATTCATTCATACCAAAAATGAGTTTAAATTCACTAGTAATTTGTAAATTCAAAAACCATTTGTTCATCCATATTTTGAACATTTCTATAAATAATTTTGTAAGCAATAGTCACTAAACTTAACTACCGAGGATGTATAATATCTCACTAGCTAACTCGATCAGTATTCTCTCCACGCTAAAGGCACACGACAGAACAACGTATTAAACCCTTCAAAGGCGGCAAAACGCAGTAATTTAGCATAGATAAGCTCCTTATTTACAGTCTGAGCGAGATTAGCTCACGGGCGTTCTACGAAACATGTAAAGAATTGCTTAAGTGGGAATGAACGTGTTTGGTCGACCAGACTGATGAGCGGGCGCGGATGCGACGCGATAAAATCGCTATTATTATAAAAATATTAGACAACAATTAAGTAGCTAAACCCCTTGTATTATTTTAAGACCACCATACAAACCTAAACGATTAGATAAACTAAAATTTTATACGTTGACTAATTCCAAATTCGAACTCGGGTTTTTAGATATGGTAACATCTTAAAAACGGTGTGTTCAAAGCGACGAAGGACACACGTTATGAAAAGACATCATGGCAAGGCATATATATAAATAATCCTCCTTCCATTCATAATATATTCATCTCATCATATACAAAAACTATAAAATTAAATGCCAGCATCATGTGGCAAATTAGATTACTATTTTAATCGCACGGTTTCTGAAGTGACGATATTCACTCATCTCGAATTGACATTATTATAATACTATTTATAATTTAAGAGTCTTCAACACTCAACTGCAAATGAAAAGATAGAAGTAGCAGATAGGTCAAACCAATGAAAACATACATAATTACAATATTATATGGAAATCAGTAAATCAGACTCAACGTACAATAATTGCTCGTTTAAAGGTATTATATTAAAATAAGACTAGTTAAAAAAATATATACTTAGGCCTTTATTCATTATCAGACTCTCAATCGCCTCGCGCACTTACTCTCGTCGCATCGCGATCGCATCGCAAGTACCTTTGATCTAGCCAAGCACTTAACGTGTGAACAATGAAAGAACTTGCAAAACGCTTTGCAGAGCGTTCGAGTTGGTTCCGTTTGTAACGGTAAGATAAGACATTTACACTGAAAAGGATTTATTTAAGGTTGTAAAACGATAGTATAGCGGTCAAAAGCATTTCGAACGTACTAAAATTAGTGTCTAATAAAATACATTTTGTTTCACGAAGCATAATAAAGATGTGGATTCTTAAAGTGAGATGATGATAATAATATAATAAGTTGTTCGGTTCTATTTGGTCCGTATTAAAATACTATGTTTTTTAAATATTTAGTGTTTGTTTCGTAAATTTATAACGAATGGCTGCATGGGTAAATAGAGTGTAATATTACATTAAAATTCATGTTTTTATGAATTAGAAGGGCGAAAGTAATTATGATGATATTTATGATGAAAGGCACGAAAAAATTTTGAGGTGTAACGTTCTGCGTTTAGAATACTGGTAATGTTACTTAAAATCTTAAGGTAACATATTAAAGTCTATATTTCAAAAGTTGTTGATACTCGAAATCCAATGACCTTTTTCTATTGTACAGTCGGCCAAGAAAGTGGTCTACCACCCTAAGGTTGAATTTCGCGTGTTACGTCAACTAACAACAAGGTTGATTTTACGTAGCATTAATTTTTTGACACGTCAAGTACACGTCATTATTGCTATCTTCATCATTTTGACGTAACCTTTGACAGTAATTATACCTATAATAAAAATGTAACAAGGTTACATTTGTAAGATATTTTGTAAAAAAATATATGGACGGCCTTCAAAAGACTAATAGAAGCCAAAAATATTTTTTTTCTGTCTGTCTGTTTGTATGTTTAAATACTTTAGAGTTAGAATATCGTAAATAAAGTCTTATAGTCTACAAATATCCTACATTAGAATGCAGATTAATTATATTTTAATACAAATAAAAAAAATCAGTAGGTAGTGAAATGCTATGCGTAAGAAGCTATGCGTGTTATAGGTCTGAATATACTGAGATAACGGATAACAGAAATGAATAGCGACGAAAAAGATATTGCGCCGACCCATAGCTTAGTGCGAGACTAGGGCTAAAACTAGAAGAGATAGTGAAAATGCTAATTCTTTGGTTGTTAAAAAATATATATACAATTCTTTTATAAAATTATAATTCTTAAAATCTTGTGTAGCCGCTATCTGCCTCTATAACAGC